TTCAGACCCATGCTTTTCCATTCCCCTACTCAGGGGGTCTGGCTGCTTTTCTTTCCCCCTTACATTTGTTTACTATAAAATAAGATATGCTGATTAACTAGAAATGGAGATATTTTATTCTATTACTAAAAAAAAGTTTATATCCGACTTGCATTAAATAGATCATGTATCAGAGGTCAGTTAGTACAACTGTCTTACTTTAAGGATGAGAAAACCAGCCTTGAGAGAGAGGAAGCGATTTGCTTAAGGTCACGCAATGGCAGAGGCAAAGCTGGAACATAAGTTTCTGATTCTGTCTCTGACATTTTATATTTACATCATCCTATTTGAAGTGTATAGAAAAAAATACTCAATGTTAGGTTTAAAAAGTCTCTATTTCCTACCTGAAAAGGATGTGAAGATAAGACCCAAGGCCAGTTAAAATATGCCACCATGCATGAAATTGTGTGGTAACACCTATGACAGGTGGTACCTTCTTTCGAAAGTTCCTGTATAGAAGAAAGGGGGGAAAATCATCATGTTAATTTTTTTTTTTTTTTTTAATATTTAGCAACTAATGCTGACAGTCTCAGAAAACTTTGAAATGCCATTTCTCAAATTTGGCAATTATTTCATTTCTAAGCCTGTTGTAGTCTGCTGTATTGTTTTCCAAAGTGTATTTTGAAGAACAGTATTTCTAGCAAAAGTTCTACAAAGAAAAGGACTCTGTGGTCGGAATAAATGCTGGAAATAGTACATAGTTTATTGCACTTTTGGCAATCTGTGATGCATATTAACAGATTAAAAACTTTGAAAAGTCCTACCATAACTAAAAGAGTTTATCTCCTTTTTTTTCAGGTAACCTACTAATCGACAGGACCCTTTTCTCAAGTAACATCAACACCTTATGGAACAAGTGCTTCCTGGAACACACTTTGGGAAACATTGGTCTACTTACCTATTTATTCACTTTAAGAAACTAGATAACTTGTCCTATGCTCTGCATACAACCGTAATCTTAGAATAGCACCACACAGTATATAAAGTCCTTTTGTATCTATTATTTCATCTCATAGCGAATCTTTGAGGTGGCTATTATTAGCTTTGCTTTACATCTCAGGAATGTAAAATTCAGAGAGGTTAACTGAATTGTTCAAGTCACTCAGCTGGTGGCACAACCAAGTCTAAAATTCCAGATCTTTTGATTGTGTATCATATTAATAGTCTCATTTAGTAGAAGGAAAAACAATCAATGTGAAACACCAAATTATTTTTCTAGATACCTCCATGAATTTTTAAGACAATCATAATTTCTAAACTAAGAACCTACTTTGTTTCTTAGTGGCTCTCACCCAGAGGAGGACTTACATCAACAGTGTAAAAGCTCCAGTGGGGTTTCTGATGAGTATTACTGATTTAGAATGACTCAATTAGATTTTCGTTTCCTAAGCAAGGTGTATTACTTGTTTGTTTATGTACATTTAAAATCTCCATTTACTTATCTAACTTTTTATTATGGATAATTTTAAACATGTGCAAAAGTAGGCAAAATAATGTACCCATTACCTAGCTTCAGCAATTTTAACTTATGGCCAATCTTGTATCATCTAAACTCCAATCTACTTCTCCCCAGCCCCATATTATTTTGAAGCAAATCCCAGGTATTGCATCATTTTATCTCTAAATATTTCAGTATGTATCTCTTAAAGATTAAAACCTTTTTAAAACATAACCATGACACCAGTTTTATACCTAAAATATTAATAATAATCCCTTAATATCATAAAATATTCAGTTACTAATCAAAGTTCTAATCATCTCATTAACTTTTTTTTTTTATAGTTGACTTTTGAATCAAAATCCAAAAAAGGTCAATACATCACATTTGGTTGATATATCTCTTAAGTCTCTTTTAATCTATATGTTCCTTCTCCCCTACTCCTGCCTCCCCCTCCCTCTGGTTCCCCCTCCCCTCAATTAATTTGCTGAAGAGACCAGGTCATTTATCCTACAGATTTCTCCCAGTCTCAATTTTGCTGACTGCCTCTCTGTGGTGCTCTTCAATATATTCTTCTGTCCTCTGTGTTTACGCAAAACTGTTTAGGTCACAGAATTTTGAGTTGGAAGGACCCACTAGTTTAACCTATTTAATTTGTTCATTTTATGGAAACTGAGACACAGAAAGAGAGTACCTTAGTGACAGACAAGGGTCCAGAGACCCAAGAATCAAACTCCAGTCAATGCACAATTGCTGACAAGACAGTAAAAGGAACACTTGTCTTTTTTAGAAAACATTAAGCATATTAAAGTACAAAATTATATACATATATTTCAAATGCTTATTACAAATCATTCTTACTTCTTCAGTAAAGCAAATTAGGCAGATTTTAAAGACCTAGTCAACATTTGATTAAAAATCCCTACAGATGTTACAAAATATTCTTAGGCCTATATTTTTAGGTAATTTAAGTAAGTCCTCCCAGAATTTAACTTTATTGTGTTGTACAAATCTTTTTAATTTCAACAATGGCAAAATTCACTTCAGGGCACTAATAATTCTATATGCCTATGAAACTCTGCTTAGTTGATTGCTTCCAAAAAATTTTCTCAAAGATTAAAAATATATCTTACCTCAGTGAGACACAAAAGATGTTATCTATGTTCCATAATAAAAATCCCAATAAAAATAAACCCAAGGATGTATAACCCAGTCCTCTAAGCCAAGGATAAACCCTGTGGGGGAAAATAAAAAGCAAAGCAAAATAAAATTTTGTCAAGTCATGTCATAATCAGAGCTTGAAGTCATCATTTTCATGAGAAGGAAAGGTTTTTGATAGTTTTAAAAACAAACCCATCTATTAAATTCTCTAATACATTTGCTTATTACAGTTAGCCATTAAAAGATACTGAAAGAGAATGTGCCACTAAGACTTTGCTAAATGTATCAAGAAGGTAATCTGAAAGCCCTCAACAATTCGGCAGTCCCATGGAAGTGCAAGGGGAGTGGTAGAACAGAATTAACACGGACTGAGTCACTTGCTCTGTTTCGGACACTGGAGTAAATTAGATACACTCTATACACACTACACTACAGACACATATACACGCACACAAATAAACCCTGTGAGGCAGGCATTATTTTTTTTCATTTCACTGATGAGAAAATGAAGCTTGGTGAGTGACTCAAAATACTAACAGTAGCTTATATATTTTTGATAGCTTCAATGAGGTATCATGGACTTAAACTGTATATATTTAAAGTGTACATTTGATGAGTACATCTATATATATCCATGAAACCAACACATTCTAGATAATAAACACATCCATCACTTCCAAAAGCTGAGTTTGCATTTTTTAAGAATGTTATATAAATGGAATAATACAGTATAACCTCTTGTTTTTTTTTCACTTGGCATAATTATTTCAAAATTCATTTTCTTTTACTGCTGAGTAATACTCCACTGTATGAATGTATCATAATTTGTTTATCTGTCCAATTGTTGATGGACATTTATGCTGTTTCCAGTTTTTTGCTATAACAAATAAAGCAGCTATGAACATTCGTAAGTCTTTATATGGACATATGCTTTCATTTCTCTTGGGTAAAAAGCTAGGAGAGGAATGGCTGAATTGTATGGCAGGTAAATATTAAGCTTTTATAAGGCACAGCTAAACTTTTCCTAAGCGATTGTATCATTTTACATTCCCACCAGCAGTGTATGAGTTTTTTGTTCTACATCCTCATTTATTGTTCTAAGAGGTGTGTAGTAGTATCACACTGTGGTTTTAATATGCATTTCCCTGATGACTAATGTTATAGGGTATCTCTTCATTTGCTTATTTGCCATCTATATATCTTCTCTGATACAATTTGTTGAGCCTTTGCCCATTAAAAAATTGTTGTTTGCCTTATTATTATGAATTCTTTATATATTCTAAATCTTGTTGGATATATTTTGCAAATATTTTCTCCGAGTCTGTAACTTGACTTTCAATTTCTTGAAGAACAAAAGTTTGCTATTTGATGAAGTTCGATTTATCAATATTTTCATTATAGTCCGCACTTTTTGTGTCCTATTTAATAACTCTTTGCTTAACTAAAGGCTGCAAAGACTTCTATGTTTTCTTCTGGAAGTTTTATAATTTTAGCTTATACATTTAGGGATATGATTCACTTCTAGTAAATTTTTGTAATGGTGTGAGTTTAAGTTCACTTTTAAAATAAGAATATCAAGCTGTTCAGCGCAATTTGTTGAAAAGATTATCTTTTCCCCACAGAATTACCTTAGAAAGTTTATGGATGTGTGAGTCTATTTTTAGATGTTCCATTGATCTATATTTCATTCTTACCACCAATATCACATTGTCTTAATTATTGTAGCACAGAGTAAATCAAGTAGTGTAAGTCCCTTAACGTTACTGTTTTCAAAACTGTGTTTTGGCTATTCGAGGTCCTTTGCCTTCCCATGTAAATTTCAGAATCAGTTTCTCAATTTTTACCAAAAAGCCTGCAGAGATTTTGTGATTGTACTGAACCTACAGATCAATTTGGGAAGAACTCACATCTTAATAATACTGAGTTTTCTATCTATGAAAATGGTACATATCTCCATTTATTTAGGTCTTCTTTAATTTCTCTCAGCAAAAAAACTGTTCATCATAGTTTCCAATGTACGGGTCTTGCATATATTTGCTAAATTTAACCCCTAAACATTTGTTGTTTGTTGATGCTATTTTCAATTGTTTGCACTAGTACATAAAAATGATTTATGAATATTGACTTGAATCTGGTGGCCCTGTTGAATTCCACTTATTGCTTCTGGTACATGTCCTGTGATATTTTCTGTATATGTTCATGTCACTGCTAATACCATGTTGGATAAGACTTCTACCAGTATAATGCTGAATAGAAATGGTGAAATATATATCCTTGCTTTAGTCTTGATTTTAAAGATAATTTTTAAAAACATTTCATGACTAAATGTGTTGAGTTTATAGCTTAAGAAAGTTCTCTTCTACTACTAGTTTGTACAGAACTGTGTTTTTTTAGATCATGAATAGCTGTTGAATTTTATAGAATGCTTTCTCTAAATCTATTGTTATTGTCATATAGTTTTTCTCCTTTGTTTTTTAATATTGTGAATGACAAGAATAGATTTTCTGAAGTTTTTCATTATTTTAACAATAAGTATTTGCAATATAAATGAATGAAAAAGGTGATTAGTTTAAAAGTCATCAGAGAAGCATATCGAAAGGGCGTTATTGCCACTGTTTGATGAAGGTTCTCAGAGAAGATGAGGTTAAGAGAATCGTAATCTGTCTTCAGCTTTTGAGAGTTTATCATAGCCCCATTTGGGGGAGGCAAGAATGATTCCCAGAAAACACAGGGCTCAACATAGTGAAGGCATCTGGCAGGGTTGTAGTGTGGGCCGGGTGCTGAGATGTTATAGGAATATGATCAGTGGGTGCAGGACACTATTTTCTGCTTCTAGGCTTACTTACCAGGGCCAATCTTCAGCTTTCAGTAGTAGTTCAAAGCAAAATTCTTCTGTGATGTGAAATGCATGTCTGGTTATCCAGGTAGCAGGGTACGCAGGAGAAAGCAAGAACTTCATCAGCACATGGTCCATGCAAGCTAAGTACAGATATACTTTGGGGACAAACTACCCATATGTTATCAGGTATAAGAGTGTACAAAACAAAAGTCCCTCAACATATCTGTGTCTGGAGTCACACTGCTTCATTTTCAACTGGCTGCCTGCCTAATGCATAGCTATCATCTGAGAAATCCTTTCCCTTCACCTTCACTTTGGGAAATGCCTTCACCTTTCTCTGTATTGGATTTCCTAAGTCTTGTATCCCATGTCTTCTTTTTTCTGGTTTATTCTCTCATTTTGTTCAAACACATCCAACAACAGGTTTCTGAGCAATAGTTCATGGTATGTAAGTTTTCTGAGAACTCGAATGTATAAAAATATATTTTGTCCTCATGCTTTATTGATAGTTTGGCTGCCTATAGAATTCTAGGTTAAAATTCTACCTTCCAGTTTTGCTTTGGTAGGTTCGAAGATATTCTGATTTCTGACCCTTTATATGTATATCTGCTTTCTAACTGTATAAACTTGCAAAATCTTCCTTGTCTAGAATTCTGAAACTGGAATGGGTCTATTTCCGCCTACTGTGCTGAAGAGCCAATGGGTTCTTTATGTCTAATAACTCGTACCTTTCAATTATAGAATATTTTCTTGAATTATTTTGCAGATGATTGCATCTCATTTTCTCTGAAGCCCCATCCCCTTTTTTGTGTAGGTACTTCTGTTCTGGCCCAGTAATATTTCTACTGAGTCTCTTCTATTCTCCGTTTTTCCCTCATCATCCTGATGGTCCCCAGGGTGTTTGTGAGTGTCTGTCTTTGCTTCTGCCCTTTCTGCTGTGAAGGACATGGAGTTGAGGAAACACCTTGCTGCTTCTCCATAGCAGTGGTGGTGAGTGAGCCTAAGGGTCCTGAAGCCTTGCAATGTGCTGTTTACTCAGCCATACCATGGG